TACGCCTAAACAGAGGCGTTGTATTATGTTCCCTATATATGTTTAATGGGGCCTCTAGCTTATAAGTGGGATTTTAATTTCATAGTTCATTCAAGCGTAGGCCACAACCTAAAAGTAGGATTTTAGGTGTTGTTCTAGTTTGATTGCGTGCAGTGGTACTCTTTTTCTTTGACTAAATTTTCCTCCTTTGGGGTGTTTTTTAAGGCAAGATTTTAACGAAATCACACAGTTGCACCGCATTTGCTAGTAATTCTGACTGATTGTATGATGTTTATCTAATTATGAATGAAGTCCATTTGCGTTTTATTAAAAAAAAAATAAAAAAAATCATAGTTTATTAGCCATGTGTTTTGCACCTGCAATTGCGTAAACATGATTAGCCCCATGTGGTTGTGGATCTTATCACAATGTTTAACTAGTCACGTGTTTCAGCTGGTTAGTATTAATAATCTTGTTTTGCCGAATGTAATACATGATTAACATTTCTAAACATTGATTTAGGTCGATGAGGGTGAGAGTTACGGTTACCGAGACGCAACAAGTAGTTGAAAGAAAATAAGCTGTGTTTGGATGAGGAAATTTAAAAGTACAAAGGATTTTATAAATGATGGAATTTAAAATGACGGAAATTGATGTTCTAGAATTTGTAAAGTTTCTTGTTTGGGTAACAGATTTAAAACACGGAAGTTAAAGTTGTCTTTTTCAAAAACTCAATATCTCTTGGAATTTTAGAAATGACGACTTTAGATAAAATTTAAAGTTAAGATTTATGACCTTCATATTTCATGTTTTTTTCCACGTTGAATTTCAAAATTTCAATATTTTTTTTTAAAATTCAAACACGGGAATTGGTGTATGTCAATTTAGGAATGTGTGCCATGGAGCAATTAGTAATTGTGTAAAAAATATATTGATGATGTGATGGTGTGATAATGTAAAATATTTGTTTGCTTGCCTTATGTATATTATTATTATTATTCCTTATAAAAAAACGAAGACGTTCACCTTATTTCTTAATTATTGTTTTTGATTTACAGACAATGATCTTTTTAATTTTGAACTTTTTGTTGGGCAGCACGTTTTAATTCAGGTGTCCCTATAAATAGGGACGAATCCAGGATTTTAAAATGAAGTGGGCTAAATTTAGGTACTAAGTAGATAGAAAATTCAACAATACCATGTGATAACAAAAAAAAAAAAAAAAAAAAAAAAAATAAAAAAAAAAAAAAACAATCATAAAAAAAAAAAAAAATTACAGCAAGAACAATAAAATCAATTACAAATCCTATTTGATAATCCATAACTCATAAACTGAAATTGATGCCCAAATTGCAAATCCTAATTGATACTTCATAAACTCCAAAAAAATCCTCAAATTAAAGTATCAAGAAATTGAGAGAAGCTTACATGACGAATATAGGAACTTGGTTCACTTGAATTACGTCTTGAAGGTGAGTGCAGCAGCAACAAGAGCATTTTTTCTTTTCTTTTTTCCTCTACATGCAAGGGTAGGGTGGTGCTTCATTTTTTTTTTCTACATGCTGTGTGTGAGTTATTTTTTCTCCTTTTTTTCTTTTGCTATGCTCTGTGTGAGTTTCCCCCCTTCCCCATCTTTTTGTTGACTGCGTACTGTGCAAAGAGGAGAACTAAATGAGGTTTGTTATTTAAATTGGGTGAGCTAGGATTTTATTTTTTTGGCTGGAAAAAAGAAGCCACCCGGTCTATTGTAACACCCCGACTCCAATTAATTCCTATTTTAATTTAATTAAGAGAAAATATTAATTTACTCTTGGGTTAAGGGTAATTTTGGTCAATTTCGTATCCGGGAAGATTTTGGGACCATGAGTGGTGTGGTTGCGTAGGTGGTACTGAGACGAAACCGTAGACAGGCGGTAGGCTTGAATCGGAGATTTAACGAAGTTTTGGCGATCAAAACTTGTTCGGTGGCAGAACCGTAAATATTCTGAAGGGTTTAGTAAAAATCAGATTTTTACTATTTTCACCTCACTTTCTCTCTCTCTCTCTCTCCCGCGTCTTCTTCTTCTCCTTCCTTGAGATTTTTCCCCTCCCCTGTTACTGTTCACCGATCGGAAAATTCATCACAGCCACCACCTCCGACCACCCCGTCCGACCCGA